AGATCATAGCATTTCAATTTCCGTTTGATTCCATAATGAGACACTTTTACTTGTCGAAATCGTGATTTTGCAGGGATGCATTGTAACCAAACTCTTACACTGTTATAAATTACACACAGTTAATTTTTAATCATTAAAAATACCGTGATGCAATTCAATTCACACATTAACGCGTAAAATCTGTAGGTTTGGCAAAATAATTTTTAGAAAATACAAGACGCCTTTGATCTGTGGAAGCTTACAAAAATTTGTGGCAAATTAATTACATAATTACATTTAATTTGAATTAATTTCGCTCTTCTAGAACTTAATTGGTTTGTGGACTTGTAAAATTAAAGTATACAAGTGGTGATTTAAAATATGTATTTATTACATATTACGAAGTTGATACAAAGTGGAGATTTTTAATTTTTGAAAATAGCTTTACCTCGACGCCAAGAGTTAATTGTATGATTAGGTAATATTTCATAATACCCTTCAGATAAGTCATTGAACATACATTCATATAGAAGATGCAGTGTATGAAGAATGCATAAGCCACATGGAACAGCCAGGACCAATAATAGACGACGGCGTGGATTTCGAACCCTCCCACCCAGCGCCAATCAGAATGTTTTTTTATTTAAATAATATTAATTATGTCTTTTTTAATTTTTGGAGTTTTAATTTTTGGAGTTCAACTTTGTCAAAAATGCAGTAAATTGTACATGTTGGACGCCAAAATAGAAACAAATGTATATTTGTGATTGTTTAGGAAGCTGAAAAAACTGAGAGGTTATGGGGAGAAAGTGCGAAAACCTCGCCGTCGTCTGCTATTGGCTCACAGCGTGGCTTACGCATCCTTATGGAGTTGAGTCTTCTAGGTCTCCTTTAGGAGGCTTATCCACTTTTCTCTGCAGATAAGTTGGCTAGGCTCTAGGCTCCGTAACATTAAAGCAAATCGGTCAAACCATTCTGCCCAATGGCAAATGGTGTCCTTTAAAAATGCGATGTTAATCATATTTGTGATCGGTTGACACTAATTTGACTAAAATCGGGGAGCATACGCTGGGAGACCTCCATTGTAAGGAGTGCAATGTAATAGTTGTTACTGATTGTGAGCTACTGCAGAGAGTGGGCGAGACTTATTGGTAATTTCATCAAGATTAAGCAATTACATGGTTTCATATAAGTGTGTAAAGTATAACACAATGGATAAGTATAAAGATAAAAAAATAAAACTTTTATTTTTTTATTTGTGTAAATAATTTTGGTTAAAACTTGCACAAAGTTTGTTCAAATACATTCATAAACACAAATAAAAAAATAAATATTTTATTTTTAAAAAAAATATTTTATTTTTAAAAAAATAAATATTTTATTAAAAAAAAATATTTTATTTTTAAAAAAATAAATATTTTATTTTTTTATTTGTGTATTGGTTATTTTTATTGTTTATTGTTTATGAATGTATTTTGAACAAACTTTGAGCAAGTTTTAACCAAAACTATTTAATTATTTTACAATACTTTAAATTAGTCAAGGTCAACTTTAGTTAGTGTCAACAATTTATTAGATCACTATAATTACCACCATCCCTGTTCACTTTCATTCATTTTGCTGATTATGATGGAGAATGATAGTGAATGAAGATGAATTTCCTGTGATTTGAGTGAAAATGAGTGAAAGATTCCGTCATTTCAGATGAATGACTGTGAATGAAAAGATTTCTCACTCATTTAATTGTTCATCATACGCTTAATGGTTACACCCCCACAGTTCCCAAAAATGAATTTTTACTTGGTTACACCCCCAAAGTTGACAGAAATGAATTTTGTTACACCTCCAAAGTTAGCAAATTGACTGGTGATTAATATTTGGTAATGAGTTGATCTCGTCTCACTTAACTCATAACTCATCTCATTTCATGACTGCTCGTCTCATCTCATCTCATCTCACTTTACCCGTCTCATGTGAGTTCTCATCTCATTTAGCGGCCATCTCATCTCATCTCAAACTCATCTTCACATGAGATGAGATGAGATCAACTCATCTCACCGGCAACCCTAGTCATGAATTAATTTAGAAGACAATTGCCGAATGCCAATCAGAGAATCTCAATTTCGCTAAACTAAAAATTATTTTTCTGATTTGTGGAAGAATAATAATTATCGATTTTCTTGTTTGGGGATACGTTTTTCATGAATTATTTGTTGCGGTTAAGACCCTGTAATTAATTATAGATTTTTGACAATTCGTAAAAGTAAATCAGATCATATAATGTAGCTAAAATGGTTATGTAATGATTTGTAAAGTGAGAATCTAATTCATTTAATTCAATAAAAATCAGATTTGTAATTAAACGAATGGCTCTACGAGCTACACATTTAAAAATGTGTACCTTCAAAATAGTACTATTTAAGAAAACCCTTACGGAATAATAAATTTTTAGAATTAAGAAAGTTAGCCGTGCTGAATTTCAGAATATCATTTTTAAGGCTGGATCATGTCGCAGTCGTTCATCATTTCGAATTCCAACTTTTCACATGAAAATGAAAACATGGGAAAATACAAATGTTGAGTTGTGAATGTAATTAAAGTAAAGCGTATGCACGAATTAGAAGAAATACATATTTTCAAAAAATTTAATGAGAATTGAAAGAAAAAGTTATCAAAATATGGCAAATTACCAAATTATCTTTCAAATGTTCACCTCCATATCGAATTTGCTTAGGTTTTGTTCAGAATAAATCCGTCAAAGTTTTTAAATTTTTCTCAATACCAAGAAGTGTAAAATCGTAATCTGTTGCTTTGTTCAATTTTGAAGATTCACAATTTAAAACTTTGTTCCATCCCTCGAAACTCAGGGGTGTCCTACACTTCACCTGTTGGCACCCTTCTAACGACAACTTTTTTTCAAAAAATTTGCAATTTTCCCGGAAAGCCATTTGTATAACATTTTTCTATAACAATCATCTATTAGTTTTTATACAATCGTAATTAATACGTTTAAATTGTGGCATTAAACTATCTTAATCACCAATTTTTACTAATCATCGAGTCAAGTCAAATTAAATTTGTAATTAAATTTAAATAGTAAAAATTGTATAATTTTAATTTCATAAATGATATTTATTATTAATCATATTTTAAATCCAAATTTTAGGTCAGACGTCTATGATGTGTCGAATTATTTCTTAACATCTTTCGCACTAATTATTTATTAAATATCCCTTGGGTACGATGCTGGTCTCGTAATTGAATCTTATAACAACCAATTAAAATTCTCATGATTGCCTAAAAAAGACTAATATTTGTTTCAACCAGTTTCAAAGTTTTTGACAAAAAAAAACACACCAAACATGCACTTTTTAACCGGTGCAGAAATATTCCAAAATTTGATAAGACAAATATCAACTTTCTACCATAAAGCTTTTATCAATTTACTTTTTATAAAAATGCTTCCAATTCGTGGGATTTGGGCTATGCGATATTTTACTTAAATGGTTATACTAATACTTCCACCCCACTTACTTCGGAAACTTTTATTCTTTCACCACTTTCCACGATTGGGGTTCAATAAATGTTCAGTAATTTTGAAAATTTCGGGAATGAATTAATTTTTTTAATAGTTTCTCATGTGATTGCGAGATTCATCTTATACTTCTGATAATCACGTTTAAACAGATTGTAAATAAATTTCTCTATGTTTTAGCTCCACGAGAAGCCTAGCGAAAAAAAATTTGGGGCATGTTTAACTAACACAGCTCGTCATAATTCCGTCATTTAATTGATTTCATTTAATATTTTTCGACATGACGGGACCAAGAACATCTTGTTCCGGACTTTCTCCGCGCCCTTTTCATCCGCGTAATTGCCATCGCGTGCCCCATTCCCAGATGCAGATCGTCACCATCCTCCCGTCGAAACGGGATGGATCTCTATTCTGGCTGACTGACTTATTTATGCGGCAACAACAGACAGTTTTCCGTGGAAGTGGAGTTGGCACATATTTCTGGCTGGGCGAGTGAAAGATTGGCAGCAGACTTTCTTCTAATAAATCAATCCCTCCCTCCTATCCCGCCATGCATTATGGAGAAAGTGGGAGACGATACCTGCTTTACATTTCGACTGAATACATATGTTTAGCTTGAGAGATCGTTCTTAACGGCCTGGGAGGAATTGTTTGATTGATATAGAGAGGCAATTTACGCAGGAACTTTGTAAAATCCGAAAATTTTGCAAAAAATTACAAGGTAGTCCAAATTGAAAAAAATGCCGTCGATCAGACAGAGTATAAGTTTATGAAAATGTGTAGGCAAATTTTGTTCAGAAATTTTTCTAAAAGTTTGTAAGGTTGGTGAATTTTATGAAGCTGTCAAGGACTGCACAAATTGTCTCATTATTGAGAATTTTATTTTAGAAAAATAGAGTTTGAGACTTTACGTAGATGGAAAAGGGAAAATCGATTCTGGCGAAATTCTTCATTCTAAATAAATTTGATTAAAATTTACTCAATTTTGAGTAAAATTGCCACCAAAGCAACAATTGAGTAAAATTTACCCTGACAAAGGTAAAATTTACTCAAGGTTGAGCAAAAATCTTTCAACCTTGAGTAAATTTTACCTTTGTCAGGGTAAATTTTACTCAATAGTTGCTTTGGTGGCAATTTTAATCAACTTTATTTACAGTGTTGGGATAAATTTTAGGCGTAATTTAAAGTAGTTGACAATAGTTGACGTTATGAGGATAAGTAATTTACGTATATGCATTTTGTGGTTATTACATTCGTGGAAAATATAGAGTTGTGGCTATGTAATTAATTATGTAAACTTTTCTGAAAACTTTAAACTGTCAGCTTTTCTGATGTTTAATTTGTGTAATGCGTATGCAATGATAATAAGTGAAATAAAACAAGGATAGATTTTTTGTAAACTTTGCACATGCTGAAAATTCGTATTATTAAATAAATACAATTTCTGTCTCTTTTTAAACGAGAAATTTTTTATGATTTTATTTACCTTTTAAAATTGCACCGATTCCGAGCAGGAAAAGCGTTCCACCCAAAATTATTCTACTGTTGTTAAGTATATCTGTGGTGCCACGTCGACCGCTTTGGATCATCCATAAAAATGTCTAACACATAGCGCGTCACAAAAAGAAATTCAAACTTTGCCAGAATTTAGAAAATATTAATAGAAAATTATTTTTCCTATAAAATTTTTCGATATCTGACCTCTGTGACCTGTTATTAAGGGGTGAAACTCATTAATACGAATACGTTTGTTTGTCTGCGTGCACGATAAGTTGATAACAATGTTATTCGAATTTAACGAGAGATTGGGTTTAATGGGCTGGGAATTGAAAGTTGACAATGCGTACAATATTTCTGACAATTTTTTGAAATTTTAACAGCACAAACAATGCAGAAAACAAGGGATTTCGGTGGAACTAGATTTCGGGCTTGCGGAGGAAACAAGGCGATTCGGTTAGGAGCGCGCAGGGGTACACTAAATATTATTTAACACCACTTGATTTTTATTTTGACGTGCAACTTATAAAAATTCGTGTCTGGAATTTGGGAAATTGAATAATTTTTGCGTCAAAACAAAAATAAAGTGGTGTTAAATAATATTTAGTGTAGCACTCCGCGCTCCCAACCGAATCGCCTTGTTTCCTCCGCCAGACCGAAATCTAGTTCCACCGCAATCCCTTGTTTTCTGCATTGTTTGTGCTGTTAAAATTTCAAAATTAAAAGTTAAAATTGTCAGAAATATGGTACGCATTGTCAACTTTCAATTCCCAGCCCATTAAATCCGATCTCTCGCTAAATTCGAATAACATTGTTATCAACTTATCGTGCACGCAGACAAACAAACGTATTCGTATTAATGAGTTTCACCCCTTAATAACAGGTCACAGAGGTCAGATATCGAAAAATTTTATAGGAAAAATAATTTTCTATTAATATTTTCTAAATTCTGGCAAAGTTTGAATTTCTTTTTGTGACGCGCTATGTGTTAGACCTTTTTATGGATGATTCAAAGCGGTCGACGTGGCACCACAGATATACTTAACAACAGTACTTTTGAAGTTGGATTTTCCGTTTTGGGACAGCATTTCATTTACTAAACTAGTCAAAAGCCTAATTTGAATGCACTTTCACTTTTTGCAGGGTTAACCACTAAAAACTTTTTCCATTTAAACTTAAACTAATTATTTGTCCTCATTTTTTAATATTATACACAAACTGTATGTTCCTGGCACTCCCTTTGAATTTGAAAATTTCATAAAATTGCCAAAGCACAAAAGACACTTGTTTGTAGTAGGTCAGTTTAGCTTTAATTAAGGAATCCTATTTATGATGGATTTACAAATCGAGTCAAACTGTTTAGTATTGAACAGTCCGCTTCTCGGTAATCCAAATTTAGTCAAAAGTCACGAAATCCGACCTGTTAGGAAGAGAGAGAAATTTAGCTCAGAAATGAGTCAGTGTATTTTACTTAAGTTTCCAGTTTTCTTTACCTAATTCCTGAATTTTGTGAGGTTACGACACCATTTTTAAGTTTTTACGTAGTAAGGAAAACCAAGTGACATAAACTAGATACCTTAGCCGTCCATTTGTTTGCAAGTTGAAAATTTCTGATACAGTTTTATGTTTTCACTCTTCAAAATATTATCAACTTTTACAGTTGCCCCATAGATATAGAGTAGAATAGATCAGGCTTCTTCCATATAGTCAATGTTAAAAACTCGGCAATGTTTTTGAGGTGGGCCTAAACCCTGCCTGTGTCTACAAACCAAGCTTGTTAAACTCCGTATTTTATTATTTGACACCACTTATTTTTTTTGCGTTTAAATTATTCAATTTCGTATGATTTAAACGCCAAAATAAAAATAACAGGTGTCAAATAATAATTTTTTAATGGTGTGCAAGCGTGCTAAGCATTCCATGCGCTACCGTGCAACCATGCGTTATCCCCAAATTATCCCCAAATTCTCCTCCATGCCGAGACGCTTTTTTCAAAAGTAGCCGAATCTACTGTACTCTATATCTATGAGTTGCCCTAAAACAATATAAACGAACACGTTTATATTGATAGTGACACAATTTTTTCACGCCATAGCCATAATGCACATTTTGTAATTCCGTGTTAATATTAGGTCACAAATTTTATTGAAAAATTTCAACCATTACTTTAGCCCAATTAGTCGAGTTGTTGACTAAACTTCTGCCAACTCTGCCTTTCACTGAACTGAAGGATGTTTTAAATTTAGAGATGAAAGTGGAGTTCGTTATGCTCAACCATTTAATTTGATGAAACATGAGTGCAAATTTCGGTGAAAGTGGAGACACTGGATTTCTCTAAGACGAGATTGCAGAGGTCGAGAGCGAGAAGGGCGAGGTGTTGGCCGCCGAACGAGTGAAAGCAGACTAAACTCGAACCGGTAACTTTCTCCACTTTTCTACCCAACAAAACTGACCCGGTTCGGGAGATGTAAAGTAAACCGTATCATATCGAGAAGCAAAACTTGTGTAAATTCAATTAAATTGGATTACATTGTTTCCAAAATGTGATGAACTACGTGGAATATAATCATTTACGTGTTACTAACAATGGAGGTCTCCCAACGTATGCTAACAGACGAAATTAGTGTCCATCGATCACAAATATAATTAGAATGAAATTTGCAAATGGAACTATCTCCCAATGCGCAGGTTTGGCGGAGATATTTGCACAAAAAGAGGAGAAAACGCACCAAAAGGGTGGCCTATTTTTCATTTTCCAAATTTCCTGCGCATTTTTTCTGCTTTTTATGCAAATATCTCCGCCAAACCTGCGCATTGGGAGATAGTTCCATTTGCAAATTTCATACTAATTATATTTGTGATCGATTGACACTAGTTTGGTCCAAATCTGTGAGCATACGTTGGGAGACCTCCATTGTCAGATTAATAAGTCTGTAATAATTTGGAAAATCGATAATACTTAAAATATAAAAAATGAGTAATCTGGACGCCGGTAAAAATTAATGTGACAAAATTATTACGTTCGAAATGTTTCTAGGTCATTTATTCGTTTACCATAATTTCATGTTATGCTTAGAAACTTAATTGATCTAATTTAAAGCATAATTCCAATATTTATTAGAAAATCTGTTATTCCTTATTGAAATTGATAAGTCTGTGATAATTGGAAAAATAAAATACGCTGCGACACATGTAGTTAAACTGCTAAAGTAAAAAATAAAGAGTGGTCTTGACGCCTGTAAAATTTAACGTGATAAAATTAATACGCATAAAATATTTTAGGTAGTCCAAAATCGGTTCATAATTTTTAATATTTAATATTTGCAATTTGCCTTGTCTGAGACATAATTTCTATATTTATTAAGAAACTTGGATTATTTAAAAGTGCGAGGAAATCAAATAATGAACTGAACTAATTGTCAACTTATAATTAAGAACATACTTTTCCCTGATATAGCAAAATACATATTTGTTTAACGAAACAAACAAGAATACCTGTTTTTGCCATTAAAGTCGCATATTTCGAAGCTTTTATTTCATTCATGAGATTATTAGTATGTCACAGCGATCAATTATGAAAGAATGAAATGTAAATTCATCATTACATAATATGCAAATAATTCCGTATAGATAGTGAGTGCAATTCAGATAATTCTTAAATTCATAAACTCCACATTGCCGAATAGTAATTCCCGTTATTACCGTGTCGATAGAGTAGAGTAATGTATGTACTCCGGTCAGTAATGAATTAATCACTACATCATAAAAGTCATGTATGATAGCAAGATATGCATCTTTTTATGTTGTTATCATGACAAGGATAATATGCTTTACTCTTCTCCGCTTAAAATGGATTACATTCTTTAAGCAAGATTCCCGGACGTGTTGCATGTCACGGAAAATTTGCGTACATGAAATAGACCTGAAATTACTGTCAGCAGGCAACTAAAAGTCAGGCGTAAAAGGAGATGGGCGATCCATGAAAAGGTCACCCACATACCACGTAACAAAAAATTATAACCTTAATCCAGTGAGAGTTCACGTTAATCAGGCTGGGAATTGAAAGTTGACAATGTGAACCATATGTGTGCCAAATTTTTTAAACTCAGTCACCACAAACAATGCAGAAAACAAGGGATTTCGGTGGAACTAGATTTCGGGCTGGCGGAGGAAGCAAGGTGATTTGGTTGGGAGCGCGGAGGGCTACACTAAATATTATTTAACAAACTTTATTTTTGTTTTGACGTACAACTTATACGAAATTGAATGACTTTGACGTCAAAATAGAAATAAACTGGTGTAAAATAATATTTTACTATTGTGGCCCTGCGCGGCGCGATCGCCAAATCACGCCTCTTCTCCTCCGCCAGCCCGAAATCTAGTTCCACCGAAATCCCTTGTTTTTTTCATTGTTTGTGGTGAATTTGTGATGTAGTTTTTAAAAAATTGAGACAAATATGGTACACATTATCAACTTTCAATTCCCAGCGCAATAAACCCGATCCTTCACTAAATTCGAGTAAAATGGTTATCAACTTATCATGCACAAAAGCAAACAAACGTATTCAAATTAATGAGTTTCACCCCCTAATAACAGGTCACAGAAGTCAGATATCGAAAAATTTTATGGGAAAAATAATTTTCTATTATTTTTTTTCTAAACACTGGTAAAGTTTGAAAGTTCTTTGTTACGTGCTATGTGGGTGACCTTTTCATGGATCGCCCATCTCCTTTTACGCCTGACTTTTAGTTGCCTGCTGACAGTACTTAAAACTTTGTGGACTTCCAAATTATGATCGGTCTTCATTAATTTTGTTACTATTTGTTCTGTTATTAACATACCCCGGACAAATATTTTTTTATCCTACCCTACTCATGTTGAGCTCAACACGAGTAGGGTAGGATAAAAAAATATTTGTCCGGGGTATGGTTATTAAACTAGAAGCTCCCGAAAACCTGTAATTAGAAACTGATAATTTGAATATTACTTAATTTCATTAATGACGTGGAAGTTTTCAAAAAGTGATTTACAAGAAATTCCTCAGTTGCAGACTTACAAATTAGCCTAGTAACAATAAGGTTGCAAATTGTGGGTTGGTAACAATTTGCAACCGAATGGAGACCAAAATTTCTGAGCAACAGACTAACAAAGCGAGTACACACGTCCATTTGGTAAACTAACAAATGCATTATAATTACTTCAAGTTTTCCAAAATATTTAATTATACTTGGTCGATCTGACCCGCAAAAATTTATATTGCCCAATTTGACAATGCGCACACATATTTAATTATGTTAAAAATTAAATTTGACTTCTGTATTTTATTTTAATCCTTGCGAAGGTTTACAGAGAGTGTTAACTCAAAGATTGGATACTGAAGAGTAGAAATTTCGATTTTGTCGAAGAGTACGGTTGGTTACCAGTGGCCGCGGAAGGGAGTGGGGACGAAGAGATAATATCCCCACGATTGTCCCCTCGATGTCCCCATCATCGGCCTATGTTATACTAATAAAGTGTTAGTATGATCCCTGGGTCCCTGGGTCCGTCTTCGCAATGCAAATTGCCCCATATAGTAGACAAAGAAGGAAGCGGAGCAACCACTGCATGCATGCACTGCACTGCATGAATAAATGAATACATGAACATGTACACCCCACATACATACATCACTCATCTCTAGTGGTTATCATGATAAGTGATCGTGATAAACACTATTAATTAATTATTTTAGTTTGAGAAACTCTACCCACAGCGAGTGGCATGTCAATTCGAATGTATTTTTGACGCTGAATCCAACGCCGTCAATGGTTTTGACCTGCGAGGCCCCCGTGACCTCGCCGTGACCGTGGTGTCCAAATCTGGCTTATTCGTGATGTCGCATATCAATTCGAATGTATTTTTGACGCTGAATCCGAATCCGTCAATAGCTTGGCGTTAATTGTAGAAGTTAACGGGGTTTATGGAACTTAACGGGAGCGTGAAGCGTGGGAATTTAAATAGTTAGCTATGCAGTTACTCCCACGCGACGGGAATTTAAGTAATTAGCTATTCAACTACTCCCACAGGGGGGAATCAAATTTTACTGTGACCAGGTTAATTAAAATGCAGTATGACTTGGGCAAACCCTCAGTCTGATGTATGTATGTAGTATGACAAAGTCTCCACTGGGAATTATTTAAAATATAGTATGACGGATTTTTCGCTTTGGGCACACCCCCCACTGGAACTCTAGAACCCGGCCTTGGCCGGGCTATACGCTAGTGTTATATAAAGCCCTCTCACCCCCATTCTTCAATACGCATTACCCCAAATGCCCCCACGGCTTCCGTGTGCACTATTTTTTATGTTTCCATATGTAAATTTGTTAAATATGAAAACTTTTCTATTTTAGTTCCAAAAACCCTGCAGTTAAGTTTAGGGATTCATTAATCTTCTGTTCCAATGCCATTATTTGAACATTAGTTAATTTGATAATCGACGTAGAAGTGTATCGTAACTTAGAAAACCTTGCAAGTTTTGCATGCAATTTTGTTGATTTACGCACACTTGCCTTCTTAGCTGAGGTATGAATATCGTACCTGTGAGAGAAAGTTGCACGTGGCGCAAGCAGCAAGTGGCTCAACATGAGGAGAAAGTTGGCCAAAACCAAACCCGAAATAAATCTGCCCAGCCGTCTGCCAGATCTTAATAAATTATGCTGTCCGCTCTCAACCCTCCACTTTTCACCTTGCAACATTTTCAAACATGCATTAACCATCTTCCTGCATAAATAAGTTTACGTATATGCACGTATCTTGCATCGCATTTATCTTGCCTCGCCCTAACTTTCTCCATGAACATGTCACTTCTCAACGCTTAATGTGTGATTATGATGAAAGTGTGAAACAAACAGGAAATTCATTTTCATTCACTATCACGCATCATCATAGTCACTCAAACGAATGAAAGTGAACAGGTATGAAAGGATCGAGATGCAGAAACTAGTCACAATTATATATTGCCATGCCACTAATTAATCAAAAGTAAGGAATATTTTTAAATCTGTATATCTTTTGAGTCCTTCGTTTAATTAAAATACTAATTTGTATCATCGAAATACAACGGATGTATGTATGTATGTATTATGTGAGGAGAAATACAACGGATGGAAGATCACTTAAAATTAATTCTTGGCATCAAAGTTCATCATATTTTCAAAAATTCTAACTGTTTTATCACCGACTTTATAAAAATGGACATTTTAATTTTACAAATTGCAAAACTATACAAGTTTAAGTTGTAGGGCGAAATTAATATTTTAAATTAAATTAAATTAAATTTGTAACTTATGTATGTTAAAACAAGTTAAAACATAGAAAATGTAATTTAATTGAATAATTTTAACGCTGCCAAAATTATTGCTGAAAAACAATATTTTACTAGTAGATGGGTAGATTTTTACTCGGTACTCCAGTCAAGTGGTATTAATGCAATAAATTCTATGCCATTTTATGCAATTTCACATAGCACCCAACCTCACACCAACTTTCACTCTTTAAGAGGATTATTTAACACTACAAGAATTACCACAACAATAGTGCAGACAGATGAGGAGAGAAACCATAAAACGGACAAAGTGTCAAACAAATATGCTTATTAGCTCACCCTGCGTAGCATGAGAGCTATTGAATTCCTCTTGTCCGTCCGTCTGTCTCTCTGTCTGTCTGTCTGTTAACGAGTTTTTTGCATCAATTGATGCTATTTAAAAATCCCCTTGACCATTATAGAATAAGTTAGGCGCACCATTGGTATTGAACAAACCGAATCGAATTTTTTAATAAATTAATAGCACCATTGATATCTAACAATCGTTAACACAAAATGATGCGAAATAATTGGGAGAAGGGATGCAAAACGCACCAATAGTGCAAAATATCCGGGAGAAATGGTCATACAATTTTGACAAAGTTTTCAAAATTATGTATCCCGGATGGTCGCTAATGCTGCAGTAATGGTGCAACGGCTAGCCGTTTTCGTTGCACCATGGGTGCAAGAATATATACGAGTTATGATTTATGTGCCAATATGGCACAAGGCATACTGTATAATGGCGCCGGGGGGCGCCAACGATACTATGATATGTTAAGTAATTTATTGGCATAATTGTAGTAAATAAAGTGAAATGCAACTGATTAAAGTAAAGTTGATCTTTTGAATATTCCACAGCAATGAGTGTTATTTTTCAGTTATCTTTGAGTAGGGTCTGCCACTTTTCTGGTTTTTATGAGCTTAAGTTTTTGTGGTTTTTGTTGTAATCGAAGCTCTGAAACCCCCAATGCTATCATAGTTTCCGTGGGATTTTTGTAAGCTTTGAAACAAATAGCTAACTTCATCATTAATGAATACTAATTAAGTTATAGGATTCAGCATGAAATTTTGGGGATTTTCACATGTGAATTGAGTTTCTAATATCACTAGCATCAACTAGCATGTACATAAATCCTATCTTGAATAAATTGGATTCCTGAATAAATTAGATTTATTCAAGCCCCCAAAAATCCCAGAGAAAGCCCTTAAATATGGGTTTTCTAGAAAATCCCCGTTTTTCTAAACGCTGCCTTTCACTTTAACATAGAAATATTTGCGACACAAAAATGAACCCTTTTGTACAAAATCAGGGGTACCAAAATTTGTAATTATTTTTCCCATTCACTATGTGACTATTTGGCATGTAAAATTCAGATTTACATGAGGCTAATTGTAGTTTGTCGAGGCGCGAATCTTAAATCTTTTTCCAGTCAAAACCTCTGGTTTTCAAAAATCTTGCACTTTTCGAAGTTGACAGCGACTTAGAAAATTCAAAACCATGTTTGTTCAGAAGAAATCTGATTTATTCACATCCAATTATCGTGTCATTTCAAGTTTAAGATTTTTTGTTACTTTCTGAATTTCCTGAAAGCAAATGGTCAAGTTTAAATTTCATTTAATATTGCCGATGAATTTTTATAAGCCAAGTAGGCCATGCTAAACAATATGTTTCGAAGTTTAAAAGTTCAATTTGGCCACTACGGGTTTTATCAGTATTGGGATTTTGGTTGTACCAAGTAAATAAAACGTAAAGTTTACTTAATAAACAAGATAAAAATGCAAAGTGGGAAAATGGGATGTTTTCTTAGTTATTAGCCGCGCGCTATAACTTGTCCCGGTCTCATACACAAATTAACGGTTTCCACAACACAGTCAGTATACACGCTCCACATTCTACAGCACGGAAAGTACACCGTTAAAATGTGTATGTTGCGGGGACAAGTTAAAGCGCGCTGATAATATTAAATGAGGAAAACTTATTAATGAAAAATATTGACTTCGCACAACGTACTGATTGATACACATTATGAAGTCTCCTACAGGTGGCTGGATGTTAAGGGGATCAACGTTTTTTTACTTGTGTATGTACATGTTTATAATAAAATTTTTGTATACCTGGTAGGTATGGTTGGAATATTTGGAAAGCTCTTATGTTGCAGCTAACGTCATCTCCGATAACGTGCATAATTACTGGTAGGTCTTCGTCAGTCCTTAAATTACGAAGAATTGTAAGCAACCTGTCTGCCTTATTTGCTTTCCCGTTAATCTTGCCCTTAAACAAAAACACTTGAATTAAAAACTTATAAAGAAATTAATAAACATCACTAATTTTTATTATGTACATAATTCATATTAATTTACCAACAAATCCACGGTTTCATTAGTGATTATGCTCTTCACTTCGAGATAGCTTAACAGAGAATCGTTCACATCCAATAAAGTTCTTAGTTCGTCGAAATTTTCGTCAATAATTATGACAAGGATGTTGTTCGATGTTTTGGATGTCATAGTTAAGCTGGAAACATTTCAGAATCAAAGGATATCGATAAGAAAATTATGTACGCTACTAACTTTTCTCTTTTTACGACCATTGCGATTGTTGGGATAAAACAGTATTATATCAGAAGCTTGATGTGCATATAATCATATGTATAAGCTTCTAGAATTGCATGTTTCGACCCAGGTTTGATTTTTTCTTACCTTAATCCAAAAATTATTGAAAATCAATTCAACACAAAATTTAGGTGGGTTTAGGTATAAAAATGAGCAGCGTCAACCTCAGTTTATAAATACAGATATGTGAATGAACGAGGTAGGTAAAATTATTCCCCAATCCAATGGAAGATAAGTTATCTCATGTTTTCCATAAAATTTACACTTTGAGGAGGCTGATCAATGTAATCAAAATTGATATGTACAGCAATGCAAGCTTTGACAAATTCTACATACATGGTGGTCATAAAGTTTCTGATGACTCAAAAAAATTTCAAACCAGTTTCTGAAACTTTTTTGCTGTTGTGTTCTCGGTACTAATTTTTTCTGAAAATGTCCCCCAGACGTGTTTCTTCATTTGTGGAAAAAATTATTAAAATAACCCAACGTTTGGATGAATGGCAGGGTGCACCAGGAAACCCTCCGAAATTTGGGTTGCCTGAAATACCGTTAAGTTGTGGAGGAACCGGAAGTAATCATGGGACCAAATTCATCCAGGACGACTCACAAGAGTCCTATACATCATTTGGAATGTGGTTTTAAAATGAATGTGCCGAAAATCAGGTAATTTTATAGTAAAGTGTTAGGCAGTCCTAAATCAAAGAGTTCAATTTAATGGATTAAGGTAGAAAATCTGTCGTTCTACTATGCAGAATCATGCAAAACCCAGTGGGTTGGATCACAAGGCTTTCTGAAAGTTCCCAGAAAACCACTTTTCGGACAAAAACCTTCTCCATCGAATTCGTTTTGTCGATTTTGTCGAGAAAAACGGCTTCTTCACTGCATTATTAATATGTAAATAAATATCCATTATTTAGTGTACGATTATTTAGACCTAAAACTTTTACTTAATAGTTCTATTAACAGTTTTAATTTTTTTAATAGAAAATATTTATTTCACGAAGATCAAAAACGTATTAAATTTAAGCCACCTTGGCACTCAGGAGGAGAGTTTGTCACTTCGATAATGACGGATCCTAAAACCCTTAGGATATGTGGTAGTACCCCATAGAGAGAACAAAAAGTGTTGCGGGATTTGATGCCATGGCTACATTTGCGCCCGCCACACCCCTTTGAAGGCACGCCCAATGCTAAACTAGCCGCACTTAAATGATCGCCAAAAATTCAATTTTGCTGGGATTTTCAAAATTTTTACATATTCTTGATCCCAGATAGTTGCTTTATCATATTAAATAACAAAATCAGCTTTTTGAAACTTTTGAAAATTTTCGAATATTTCCTGAGTATTTCCAGGTATTTTTTTCAAAAAATGACAAATTTCAAAAAAGTTGAGACTAGTGTCGAATATGATCAAGCAACTATCTGAGATCAAGAATATGTAAAAAATTTGAAAATCCGACAAAATTTGGATTTTTGGTGACGATTTTGGTGCGGCTAGTTTAGCATGGGGCGCACTTTCAAAGGGGTGTGGCGCTCGCAAATGTTGCCATGGCATCAAACCCCGCAACACTTTTGTTCCCTCATGGGGTACTACCACATATCCTAAGGGCATCAGGATCCGTCATTATCGAAGTGACAAACATTCCTCCTCAGATTAACATGCATAAATATATCCCAAAGTGCTTCAAAAGTTCATATCAAAGACTATTTTCTAAATTTAAATCCAAAAACTTATTCCACCTATCGGATATTCCAGCAGGAGTTTCTGGGGAATTTCCACAAGAAAAGTCCATAAGGAGACGAATTGCAGATGATAGTCAACTATATATTTATAAATGTGAAGATTTCAATTAACAATATGGACAATTAAATCACTGCAATGTCAAAGATAACAGAGGATTTTAAAGGTCATCCAGGTCAATGTTTGACTGAACAGCGGGTCCTTATTTGGAAGATAATTAATTAATTGTAATTGAACTTGAACTATACCAAATGTCAGGTTCAACTTAGGATAATATCCATTCGAATATATATATGTATGTAATTAAAATTGGTTGAACACTTCTGTAATTGATTCAATATTAATTAAGCTGTGATTCACTCAAACCCGCATAAGTTATCAAGGCGCCCTCGCGGTCAAAGATCCCTCTCGGAACTTAGTATTTTTGGTATAATTTGTTATATTTTGAAGAGAATCTTTTTAGCATCTTGTTTAATTTTAGAGTTTTTTGAAATTTGTCGAAGGCATAAAGGAATTTGAAAACTACCAACTGTCAGATTAACTGACAGTTAAGACAAGATAGTATTCGTACGATTTAAGTAAAATTACCAAGTATATGTAGGGAACAATTAAAAAACAGAATTGTTTGTATATATTTTCTGACAGGTATGATTAAGAAAGGAGTTCAAACTACGAGCTACCTATCAAATGATTTTTGAATCTAACACTAATGTTTCTACCTGATATCCTGGTGTACAAAAATATATGGAATTTTCATTGTATCAAGAAGTTTCCATGCTTTCCACCTATGTATATAATTAGTAAAGTAATTATGTAAATTTGATCTCCAAAATTCATCTTTCTAATTTCAAATCGTTTGTCATATTTCTAAATATCTGTTAGATGTTCCTCTGTAAAATACCCACGTTTGTTTTAAATATGGAAATAGAGCGAGCACCTGTCCTGTGAGATTTTCACACTCCTAAAATTCAAAATAAATGCAACTGATAAAATTACAATATTTATCTAGACCGATACCGACCTAACCTTAAACTGGTTTGTGCATTTTTCCCGTTTAGACTTATGTACAATGCCTTCAATAAACTCCATCTATAGCTATGTTATATATTTATGTAGTGGGACTTTGGTCATAAATTCGGAATAAACACCTTAAGTTAATCCTAATTTCAAATAAGCCCAAAAGTGGTAAAACCTGGCATTAAGCAGGATTATTGTAAGACCACGTTTGGCAGGTTATGTCGTTCGTCGAACTGAAAAGTGCAATTCTTCAGTTTGGAACTTGAAATATTGGATTGGCACGATATAATCCTATAATCCATACGAACTTGTATATTTTCGTTATGGATAATTATCTTTGAAATTAATTATGGTAAATTTTTAATGGGAGAGGAAATGACATCAAAAATTAATGAACACGACGGAAGAGATACGTTTTGTAAGGTTTTAGCGGGATAATTCGGTTCACGAATAGACATCCATACACCTCAACCAACAAATCCCTAACAACTACAAGGTAAAACCTCTAAACACCCACTCCTGCTAAATTAGTAATAAACCAGAATTATATACATACATTGCAAAATCAATTTCCGTACGTGGGCACATCTCGCAATACGAGATTCTTTTACCTTCATCTCATGGGGTACCGGGAAAAAATGTCCCACAATCTTCCACAATATATAAAGCTAATTATTCAGGACAGGGGATGTGTTTTCTTTTGCAGCCGTACTACATGAAATCAACATCACACATGACAATCTTGGTGGTAGCAAGAACGTCGTCCGGCTAGCAGAAAACCCTGAATTTCACCAGTGTTGTAGCCAGGTGGACCTGAAAAATCGACCACCTCCTTCGTGAAAGACTTACGTAATATTTCTAAATATTGAAGCATAAGTAATTTGTCTTACTGAATTTGATAAATACCAGATGTCTGATTCACATAGGATTTCAGAGGTTACAACTATGTCTTTCATTAAAACAAGTGGACAAAATTGTACAACCATCGACACTGACAAAGACTATATCTACATGCGTAAATGAAACCATTGAAAACGTTTCACTATCTGTACTGCTGCGAGATAAAATTCTATCTTTAAAAAACTCAGATATCCCCCTTGATATACAATTGATTCCAGGCTATTAGGAAATTACGTTCCCCTTGTTCATTTTTTCCTTGAGGTCAACAAGTTCGGGAATGATTTTAAAATATCAAAAATTTCTCCCACCAATCCTTAGAACTTCCCACAAGGTCTACACCCTGGCCTTGCCACTATGTGTTTATCTTAATATGAATCAGAATGTCAATAAACTCTAAGTGCCGCCTCTGCAGGAATGCTAAGCGAATCATTGTTGCTACATATGAAGACTAACATACAAAAATGTCCAACTCAAAAGGTGTACCTCATGGAGCAGACGGAATACAAGACACTGTTTAAGAATACCAAAAAAAAAATTGAATATAATAACTAAAATAAATTGAATGTACTGAAAACTTGTCACCTAGGATATCAAATTACTCTTAACACACGCAGAAAAAACAGAGGTATCATTATAAGGGAATATAAATTTATACAACGACTAATGTCTAGCTAATCCTAAGTGTGCTTAATGAACTTGAAAACTACTAGATGTCAAGCTCACCGAAGATTAATATTTATCCGACTAAAATACTTAAGATTAATGTATGGATTATTTACTGAATTCGAATATGTACGAATTGTGGGTTCACGGATATGTTCTAAATGTTACGATTAGTATGAAAGAAGTCCAAGCTATATATGCAAATGACTGTTGTTGGAACTGGATATGTGAGGCTATGAGAACCTCTCGTCGTATTTCAAGTATGCAATGTTATAAAAATAAAATCCACCATTAAGAATTCTTGCTTATAAAACACATCTTCATCGATCACCCTACCATGCTTTAATGGAGCCGTCATCCAAATACCTTTTAATGCTTGTTTGATAATTTGCTAATTCGCAGCTAAAGTTAGAATATACCGAATTCCACATTTAAGTTTTTTATATTACGGAATAAAGATTAAAATTTGCTTATCCAGCACGATGGTTGTTTCAAAAATTCATTTTTGACATATGGTGCTTAAAAACAATATTAGAAATTAGCTTAGGTAAATAGGTTTTAGGTAAATAGGTAAACTAAATAGGTAAATTTTTACATGGGTGGAGAGTACAGGGGTTTCACCCATACAAAAATGTGCACAATATACGATTTCTGACGCAAAGTGAAAGTATTTCCCTGTAAAAATCACTTTTCGTCAATCTGTGACGATATTTTTGGCGAGCGGGGGACGATGAGTGTGAGGGGAGGAGGAGAGGAAAAGTTGCACTCAAATTCTCTCGCCTTGCATTAATTAATAATATCTTATAAATTTAGTACCTCACCGAAGAGTGTTTTTTTTTACAAAACTAATTTATAGGAAGATCAAAACGTAGTAAATTTAAGCCACTTTGTTACTCAGAATATCATTTCTAGAACAGCATTGTACATAAAACTAGTTATTATTTAAACATTTTTACACAAAATGTCCATTTTAACTTTAGTAATTAAACTCAGCGTAGCATATGCAATAATAAATATTTGCCAAAGTGCTTCAAA